ACGCAAGGTCCCCCTGCTCAAGCCAGCGCATGTCCAGGCCCGTCTGAAGTTTGCCAATGACCATCTGGATGATTCAGAGGAGGAATGGGAGAAGGTAATGTGGTCTGATGAGACAAAAATATAGCTTTTTGGTCTAAACTCCACTCGCCGTGTTTGGAGGAAGAAGAAGGATGAGTACAATCCCAAGAACACCATCCCAACCGTGAAGCATGGAGGTGGAAACATCATTCTTTGGGGATGCTTTTCTGCAAAGGGGACAGGACGACTGCACCGTATTGAGGGGAGGATGGATGGGGCCATGTATCGCGAGATCTTGGCCAACAACCTCCTTCCCTCAGTAAGAGCATTGAAGATGGGTCGTGGCTGGGTCTTCCAGCATGACAACGACCTGAAACACACAGCCAGGGCAACTAAGGAGTGGCTCCGTAAGAAGCATCTCAAGGTCCTGGAGTGGCCTAGCCAGTCTCCAGACCTGAACCAAATAGAAAATCTTTGGAGGGAGCTGAAAGTCCGTATTGCCCAGCGACAGCCCCAAAACCTGAAGGATCTGGAGAAGGTCTGTATGGAGGAGTGGGCCAAAATCCCTGCTGCAGTGTGTGCAAACCTTGTCAAGACCTACAGGAAACGTATGATCTCTGTAATTGCAAACAAAGGTTTCTGTACCAAATACTTATGTCATGCAATAAAATGCAAATTAATTACTTAAATCATACAATGTGATTTTCTGGATTTTTGTTTTAGATTCCGTCTCTCACAGTTGAAGTGTACCTATGATAAAAAGTACAGACCTCTACATGCTTTGTAAGTAGGAAAACCTGCAAAATCGGCAGTGTATCAAATACTTGTTCTCCCCACTGTATATATATATACAGTGAAGGGGAAAAAAGTATTTGATCCCCTGCTGATTTTGTACGTTTGCCCACTGACAGACTGATAATTTCTATTCACCTACCTACCTAATGGTAGGTTTATTTGAACAGTGAGAGACAGAATAACAACAAAAAAATCCAGAAAAACGCATGTCAAAAATGTTATAAATTGATTTGCATTTTAATGAGGGAAATAAGTATTTCACCCCCTCGCAATCAGAAATATTTCTGGCTCCCAGGTGTCTTTTATACAGGTAACGAGCTGAGATTAGGAGCACACGCTTAAAGGGAGTGCTCCTAATCTCAGCTTGTTACCTGTATAAAAGACACCTGTCCACAGAAGCAATCAATCAATCAGATTCCAAACTCTCCACCATGGCCAAGACCAAAGAGCTCTCCAAGGATGTCAGGGACAAGATTGTAGACATACACAAGGCTGGAATGGGTTACAAGACCATCGCCAAGCAGCTTGGTGAGAAGGTGACAACAGTTGGTGTGATTATTCGCAAATGGAAGAAACACAAAAAAACTGTCAATCTCCCTCGGCCTGGGGCTCCATGCAAGATCTCACATCGTGGAAATAATAATAATAATAATAATAATAATATGCCATTTAGCAGACGCTTTTATCCAAAGCGACTTACAGTCGTGTGTGCATACATTTTTGTGTATGGGTGGTCCCGGGGATCGAACCCACTACCTTGGCGTTACAAGCGCCGTGCTCTACCAGCTGAGCTACAATCAGCCCAGAACTACATGGGAGGATCTTGTCAATGATCTCAAGGCAGCTGGGACCATAGTCACCAAGAAAACAATTGGTAACACACTATGCTGTGAAGGACTGAAATCCTGCAGCGCCCGCAAGGTCCCCCTGCTCAAGAAAGCACATATACAGGCCCGTCTGAAGTTTGCCAATGAACATCTGAATGATTCAGAGGAGAACTGGGTGAAAGTGTTGTGGTCAGATGAGACCAAAATCGAGCTCTTTGGCGTCAACTCAACTCGCCGTGTTTGGAGGAGTAGGAATGCTGCCTATGACCCCAAGAACACCATCCCCACCGTCAAACATGGAGGTGGAAACATTATGCTTTGGGGGGTGATTTTCTGCTAAGGGGACAGGACAACTCATCAAAGGGACGATGGACGGGGCCATGTACCGTCAAATCTTGGGTGAGAACCTCCTTCCCTCAGCCAGGGCATTGAAAATGGGTCGTGGATGGGTATTCCAGCATGACAATGACCCAAAACACACGGCCAAGGCAACAAAGGAGTGGCTCAAGAAGAAGCACATTAAGGTCCTGGAGTGGCCTAGCCAGTCTCCAGACCTTAATCCCATAGAAAATCTGTGGAGGGAGCTGAAGGTTCGAGTTGCCAAACGTCAGCCTCGAAACCTTAATGACTTGGAGAAGATCTGCAAAGAGGAGTGGAAAAAAATCCCTCCTGAGATGTGTGCAAACCTGGTGGCCAACTACAAGAAACGTCTGACCTCTGTGATTGCCAACAAGGGTTTTGCCACCAAGTACTAAGTAATGTTTTGCAGAGGGGTCAAATACCTATTTGCCTCATTAAAATGCAAATCAATTTATAACATTTTTGACATGCGTTTTTTTGGATTTTTTTGTTGTTATTCTCTCTCACTGTTCAAATAAACCTACCATTAAAATTATAGACTGATCATGTCTTTGTCAGTGGGCAAACGTACAAAATCAGCAGGGGATCAAATACTTTTTTCCCTCACTGTATGTGTGTGTGTGTGTGTGTGTGTGTGTGTGTGTGTATATATGTATATGTGTGTGTATATATATATATATATATATATATATACACACATATCCTTTAAAATACTAAAGAGTTAATCTGGGTGATTTTTCCACAAATAGACAGGTATTTACCCTTCCATGGTAGCACATTTTTGCTAGCTTTCCATTAAAATGTATTGGAGTGAGATCATTTATTTCATTTGGGATATGTATTCCGAGTATATCCACATCACCATCAGACCATTTTATTGATAAACTACATGGTAATGTAAACATTGTATTCTTTAGTGATCCAATACGTAATATAGTACATTTATCATAATTTGGTTGTAATTCAGAGAGGTTAGAAATGTATTTAGATCCTCTGAGGCTGTGGAGGGATTCAAAGTTGTGGATTTAAAACAAAACATGAATCATCAGCTTACAATGATACCTTTGTTTTTAAGCACTGGATTTCTAATCCTTTGATATTATTGTTGGATCTGATTTTAATAGCTAACACAGTAACCTCTTAATAGTGCAACTCTTGATTGTCACAAGTGCTTGCAAAGACTTTAGAACTAGGAGTGGACAAATGAGATGCTCAAACTTTATCAACATAATGATAAAACCACTTAAATTGGTACAGCACTTCCACTAACGGTTGGCACAAATGCATCAGATTTTAGACCATGTCCCCAAATATAAAAATGAGCCCAAGCCAGCACATTGACCCCACCAACATTTCAAAGTGCAGTGAATGTAAGGTAAACAACAAGTCATTTTCAACATTAACACCTGAATTCAACTGTAAAAATACAATATTTTTACTGCAACTCAATAGCTGGTAACTTACTGTCAAATTACAGGTAATATTTAACAGTGTGTAACATTAGCTCATCTGAAGTATCCTATAAGTATAACGGTAGAACCTGTCATTCATTCTACCTGGAACCAGAGGGTTCTTCATGAGAGGGTTCTAAATGGAATTCAAAAGGGTTCCCCTACCTACATGTACAAAACAAAGGGTTCTATGTAGTGATGTTAGGTTTGATACCGGAGCTCTGAGGCATGTGCCGAAATCACTAAGCAGCTAACTTTGAAGCAGTGTGCCAATGCGCATCACTTTATCAGAAGTACGTCAATGACGTCTGAAGCTTAGTTTGATCACATGCTTTTTCCAAATGTGAGATCCCACTGATTTCGCAATGGTTCCAGTGCTTTCTTCGATTCCAAGCTGCTTTAAAACACTGACCTCTACTGAACACCGTACTTACAAATATAGTAAAATGTTGTACATGTAGTTTCACTTGACTGGTAGTTTAGCAGGTAGAATAGGGAACTATGGAACATTCAGGGTTGTGAGGGTATGAGATCGAATCCCGTTGAAGACACAGCACACTATTTCGAAAATTGTTTTAACCAAACTCTGCACTGTTGTTCAAATAATTAATTTGATTTAGTATAGTATAAGCTTCTGTCTTAAACATACTAAAAAATGCCATAGATTCAGTTTTAGAAAAATAGTCAACTTGAAGTAAAAAAGGGAAGCATTATGTAAGATGCGAACCTGGTTGGTATACTAATGCCAACGACTTACCGCTGCGCCACAGAGTTTTGATAAACAGTCAAATATTTGTTTAGATCCGATAATCATATGCTATTTATTGTTGACCAGCAGATGTCACTAATGTGCATTTTGAACAGATAATGAAGCTCAGAGAAATGATCAGTTTTTCGGCACAATTTAGTGAAAGCGCCGAAGCCTTCAGAAAGCCTCGGTATCACATCACTAGTTGTATATGGCACCCAAAAGGGTTCCCCCATAGAGACAAATGACATTTATATTGGTTGTAATCTTTTAACAATCTTTATCACACCCACAGATCCAGTGGTGTAGCAGGAAATTCAGATTGTGAGTTCAAATCCCAAGTGAGGTTGATTCTCACGTAATCAGAATTTTGCTGGTCTGCAAAACCACGGTCATCATTATCATATTTCCCAGCATGCTCTATTGCAGATTTTGAGTTTTAGAATTGTTTGTTTCAAGATCTGTGTTTTTGTATGTGCATTGATTGATTGATTAATCAATAAGTGTGTCTTATACTACACAAAAATACATTTAATATATTTTTCTAAACTAATCCAATCTGTTAGTTGGACTTATTGCACCTGTTACTGAAATATTTTTTTTTTCAGTTTAGCTCAGGGGTGTTTGACTCTTACCCTACGAGGTCTGGAGCCTGCTGGTTTTCTGTTCTACCTGATTATTAATTGCATCCACCTGGTGTGTCAAGTTTAACACAACGAAGGCTGCTCACCAGCCTATGCTTGTCTATGCTGTTTTTTTCAGCAGGGTCAGCCCTTCTCACCCTCTCTCTCTCTTCCCCAGAGTGGGCCAGCCATGGCCTCAGTCTGCAGTGAGAGCAGAGGGAGACACACTGCACTTCATAAGTCTCAGCTCTGAGCTGAATGGCCTTTACGCCTGTGAGGCCTCCAACCCTTACGGACAAGCAACTGGCACTCAATATGTGCACATCGCCTCCAGTGAGAACAGAGAGAGAAAATATATTTATAAAAATATGCGCGCACACACACAATTCATGATGGTTTCTTTACTGGCTGCTTATAATTTCATTGTTATATTAGGGACAATTATGCGAAATGTGATGTAGCATGTATACCAAAGTTGAGCAAGATGCTCACTTATATTTCACTGCGTGTGTTAGTATCAGACTTATGGCCTCATTCCTTTTTACAGGAAGGTTTCAAAACTAAGATTGTCATGATTAGGGCTGTTATGGTGACCGTATTACCGCCACAACAGCGGTCAAATTCCACGTGACCATTTAGTCACGGTAATTAGGCTTCTCCAAGCTCTGATGCTGCTGATGGTCATTAGTAGCCTACCAAACTTGCTAACTGCCTGTACTCAGCACTCTATTGTCCCTCTAATCACTCTGATACCAATGCAAATGTAATCGAAAATCTAATCAAACACTTCATGAGAGCCCATGAGCTCATGTTGCGCAACATTTCTATAGGCTATGCAATTGCGTGAGAACAGAGTGATGGTCTATTAAAAAGAGGAGGATCCCATCAGCTATCTATAGGCTTACTATATTTATTTCTCAACTTTCCTAATATTAAGCACATTGCTTCTCTTTACAACAGGAGTATAGCCTACCTGGCTGGCATGAAAATGAACCATGGGAAAAGCGTCCCCCATTTGCATTCTGCAATTTTTCCCCCTGCCCCTGTTTCAAGACCGATGCATGATAATGTTGCATTCTAAATCAAAACAAATTTCACACATTATTTAGTATATGTAAAGACGAGATTAAATCAAGAATTGTCTGATGGGTGACAATATTAGCCCATCACTTGTGAATGATATATTTACATTGACATTTTAGTCATTTAGCAGACGCTCTTATCCAGAGCGACTTAGTTAGTGAGTGCATACATTTTTCATACTGGCCCCCCGTGGGAAACGAACCCACAACCCTGGTGTTGCAAGCGCCATGCTCTACCAACTGAGCTACAGGGGACTTATATTATCACTTGTGAGTGATGCCCAGCTTGTGTGCCTTTTTTTTGTTGCTTTTTCAAATCATAGTCGCACACCTCATGTAGCCTAGCCCATATGCCTATATGTTCTGGCCAAATAACTACTTAACATTAACATTAAGCACATTAATCCACTTTACAACGGGTGTAGAGCCTAACTGGCATAAAGAATTTCACCATAAAAATGCACCTTTATAATAAAAGCATTCATGCATAATCGCATTTGTGGTCACTTTTGAGAATGGTGTTTTCCCGCTGATGGAACATTCGTGCTTATAGCCTACTGTCATGTGCGCATTGCTGCGCTTATAATGTGAAGAAATAGCCTAATAGTTTATAAACATTTTAAGCTAAATGTTCTGATCTGTTGTGTCAGCCTCATTGCTTAAAAAAGTTTTTTTGATGCTAGTGGTTATATTAATTTGGGATCTATCCCATCCCACAACTGTCCTAGACTATGTTTGGAATATTTATTTCTCGCACAGATTAGAATAGGTCAACTTTTGTACTATGGGGGATAATAGATTGGATAAGGACGCGCGTGGTTGCGTCCCCGATGCGTCTGTCTTTGTGTCCCCGATGCGTCCCCGATGTGTCTGTCTTTAGAACATGTTGATGTTCTAAAGGTCTGCATCAGTGGCTTGTAGGCTATGCCTGAAAGCCAGGAGATGCTAATAGTGTTCATGCTAATTAACGTCAATCACCATGAGGTCGGCAGTTATTTGCTTGACAATCACCGGCTGAAGAAATGTCATGACCGCCACAGCCCTAGTCATGATACACACTTTTCACTTACTGCATATGTACACATATTATAACCTCCTAGCATTATCTCTTTGCTTTCTACAGGAAAGTGTTTGCATTAGAGCTACGATGATTGCTAGGGCATGTATTGTAGTTGTAAATGCAGCCTGTTTCTTATATTAACTATATCCCACCCCCTCACAGATACCTCTGCTGCCTGTTGGGTTCTACTTGTTGTCATTATGTTTCTGACTGTTGCTGCTGCTGGACTCCTATGGTATCGGTGCAAATACGGAAAATGTATTTGGTAACGTCAGCTTCTGAAACTCAAGTATTGAATTTTGCGTAGTGAAAAATTTATTTGTATTGAATGATCATACATTGATTTTGCTTTCAAATCCATGTTTTCTTTTTCTGGACTATATCCCAGGAGTTCAGTCATGGGTGATCACCAGTTCGAGGCACCATCACAGGTATGTGACTATGTTACAGGCCACCATTGTTGTGTGACTAACCTATCTTATCAGCCACTTTTTGCTCTGTAATAATACTGTTAAAATGTCTAATGACAAGGTTGAGGAAGATGAAGGTGAGCTATAAACCAGGAGGGCAGATAAGGAAGAAAGTTCATAAGGTAGGGTACATACTCTTTTATAATTTTTTTGGAAACATTTGAAATATTATTCCCCTAAAAAATGTATAAAGGTCTATTTATTGTGTTAGCTTGAAGAAGTCGCCAGACAGGCTGAGAGCGAATGCCATAAGAATCTTAGACGTGTAGACTCGACCCTACATTACAGTGCCTTCGGAAAGTATTCAGACCCCTTGACTTTTTTCCACATTTTACAGCCTTATTCTAAAATTGATTAAATAAAAAAATATCCTCAGCCATCTATACAATACCCCATAATGACAAAACGAAAACAGGTTTTTAGAAAATGTTGCAAATGTGTTAAAAAATATACCTTATTTACAGATTAAGACCCTTTGCTATTAGACTTGAAATTGAGCTCAGGTGCATCTGTTTCCATTGAACATCCTTGAGATGTTTCTACAACTTGAAGTCCACCTGTGGTAAATTAAATTGATTGGACATGATTTGGAAAGGCACACACCTGTCTATGTTAGGTCCCATAGTTGACAATGCATATCAGAGCAAAAACCAAGCCATGAGGTCGAAGGAATTGTCTGTAGAGCGCCGAGACAGGATTGTGTCGATGCACAGATTGAAAGAATGAAGATTATCAGTGGTCTTGTATGTCTTCCATTTCCTAATAATTGCTCCCACAGTTGATTTCTTCAAACCAAGCTGCTTACCTATTGCAGATTCAGTCTTCCCAGCCTGGTGCAGGTCTACAATTTTGTTTCTGGTGTCCTTTGACAGCTCTTTGGTTTTGGCCATAGTGGAGTGTGACTGTTTGAGGTTGTGGACAGGTGTCTTTTATACTGATAACAAGTTAAAACAGGTGCCATTAATACAGGTAACGAGTGGAGGACAGATGAGCCTCTTAAAGAAGAAGTTACAGGTCTGTGAGAGCCAGAAATCTTGCTTGTTTGTAGGTGACCAAATACTTATTTTCCACCATAATTTGCAAATAAATTCATTAAAAATCCTACAATGTGATTTTCTGGAGAAAAAAAATCTCAATTTGTCTGTCATAGTTGACGTGTACCTATGATGAAAATTACAGGCCTCTCTCATCTTTTTAAGTGGGAGAACTTGCACAATTGGTGGCTGACTAAATACTTTTTTCCCCCACTGTATGTGCCAAGCTTGTAGCGTCATACCCAAGAAGACTCAAGGCTGTAATCGCTGCCAAAGATGCTTCAACAAAGTACTGAGTTAAGGGTCTGAATACTTATGTACTTACTTATTTTTATATTGGCATTAAATTCTAAAAACATGTTTTTCCTTTGTTATGATGGGGTATTGTGAGTAGACTGATGAGCGGGAAAAAAAACAATTTAAACCAATTTTATAATAATACAAAAGTGGAAAAAGTCAAGAGGTCTGAATATTTTCCGAAGGCACTGTATGTCTTCTCTCTCACTTGGAGCTGCATGGCAAATGGTCCAGGAACACAAGGAAAGAACAAAGGACCATGCCCAAGGACTAGTCAGCCCTTCCCCCTCTGAGGGGCCAAAATGTATCTCTCTGTTACAGTATCCAGAGGACTGACTATTGAATGTGTGATAGTATCCATGTTTGGTATCTATAGCATTATTCTATCTGAAACTTGTTCACTGAGGATAACGCTAATGCTACCTATATGGATGTATGATCTCTGTGGTAACTTGTATCTGTACAGGGTTAACTCTAAATTACCCTATGCAAAGAGTTGTATGGTCCTCTCAGGAATTCTGTCTCATCCCCCACACAAGCCTTTAGATGCTGTGACACCCTGTGGAGATTGGTCCTTGGTGGTCAGGTTACACTGTAAACTTGGTATTGTTTGATTGGTCAATGGTAGTTGGTTTTGGGTTGAAGGTTACACCTTCAGATGTTATGAATTGAATTAAATGCCTTTTTCCCTCATCAACAGGATAAGAGAGGGAACAGTTGGATGATCAATTCTCATGTCCTAGGCTTCAAAGCATCTCCTTGTTTGCATCACCTACTGGTATGGCAACTGCTCGGCATCGACCGCAAAGCGCTACAAAGAGTACATCATTGGCCCAAGCTTTCTCCGATCCAGGACGTCTATACCAGGCAGTGTCAGAGGAATGCCCTAAAAATGTACCCCCTGTACATAGCCTCATTATTGTTATTTGTGGGGGGATTTTTTTTTAAAAATAATACTGAGTAATGGGTCTGAATACTTATGTAAATGTGATATTTCAGTTTACTCTTATAGCAAAAAATCAGTTTGTGCTTTGTCATGATGGTGTATTTAGGTATTTTTTTTGTTTTGTTTGCCCCACCAAGATTTACATGCTAAAATCATCACTGGTCGTTTCTACTGTAGGATTCCGTATGTATGGAGCATAACGTATTTACTGTTTTATTCACGTTTCATGTACTGGTGACAAATCATGCATTCTGATTCTTGTATAGATTGTAATGGACACATATGATGTGTGTAAAATACTTTTTTGTAGGTTGTACTGACTACAATGAGATAATGCTAGCTATTTGCCAGCTATGTGTGTGTGTAACAGGGTTGGTTATGTTTCCACTTGCCTCTAAAGAAATGTGTATTAAATGTTCAAGCGTTCTTATTGGTTGGTTCAACTCTGATGACAATAAGGCGTGTTGTGATTGGCCCCGCTTGCAGCTAGGGGGAGATCACGACCCAGTATGAAAATGTGATGCAAGGGGTAGGTCATGTTCTGAATACTGTTTTATATTTTACAATGTGTACGTTACTGATTTATACATGTGTGGGTATATGGTACCTGTTAGGGATTGAGGGGCTTTCTGGGATGTGCTTTGGCATATGATTACATTTTACACATTTTAGTCATTTAGCAGACGCTCTTATCCAGAGCGACTTACAGTTAGTGAGTGCATACATTATACACTGCTCAAAAAAATAAAGGGAACACTTAAACAACACAATGTAACTCCAAGTCAATCACACTTCTGTGAAATCAAACTGTCCACTTAGGAAGCAACACTGATTGACAATACATTTCACATGCTGTTGTGCAAATGGAATAGACAACAGGTGGAAATTATAGGCAATTAGCAAGACACCCCCAATAAAGGAGTGGTTCTGCAGGTGGTGACCACAGACCACTTCTCAGTTCCTATGCTTCCTGGCTGATGTTTTGGTCACTTTTGAATGCTGGCGGTGCTTTCACTCTAGTGGTAGCATGAGACGGAGTCTACAACCCACACAAGTGGCTCAGGTAGTGCAGCTCATCCAGGATGGCACATCAATGCGAGCTGTGGCAAGAAGGTTTGCTGTAGTCTGTCAGCGTAGTGTCCAGAGCATGGAGGCGCTACCAGGAGACAGGCCAGTACCTCAGGAGACGTGGAGGAGGCCGTAGGAGGGCAACAACCCAGCAGCAGGACCGCTACCTCCGCCTTTGTGCAAGGAGGAGCAGGAGGAGCACTGCCAGAGCCCTGCAAAATGACCTCCAGCAGGCCACAAATGTGCATGTGAAAGGTAAATACCTGTCTATTTGTGGAAAAATCACCCTGATTAACTCTTTAGTATTATCCCAGTTTACCTATTTGCTTATGGTCTTTCCTATATCTAGCGAACAGTTTCTTAAATTATATGAGAAAAATATATTCCATTTTATTTGCAACGGCAAGCCAGACAAAATTCTACGGGCCTATTTATATAATGAATATGAATTCGGAGGACAGAAATGATTAAATATTAAAGCATTAGACCAATCACTAAAAGCTTCAGTCATACAAAATTATACTTAAATCCAAACTAGTTCTCTAGCAAATTAGTAAGATTGTCTCACCCAATGTTCAAGAATGGCCCTTTTCCCTTTATTCAGATTTCAAATAACTGAAAGTGAGAGGTTGTAAAGGAAAAAATCTCCCAAATATCACTATTTCTAAAACAAGCCATAGAAATTTGGTTGCAATTTCAATTGAATCCTCCAGAAACGACAGAACAAATAATGCAACAAATATTGTGGTTAAACTGAAATATACTAATTGATAAAAAAAAAAATCATAATTTGTTTAATTGTTTTTGAAAAAATGTATAATCTTCGTAAATGAGATCATAGGTAGGACTGGTGGAGTTATGTCACACATGCTGCTAACAAAAACATATGGAAATGTCTGCTCTACCCAAAATTACAACCAAATAATTGCAGCTTTACCACAAAAATGGAAGAGGAAAGTGGAAGGAGAAAAAGTCAGGAACTTGTCTGTCGGCCTTGCATTAAAGAACATAATTGGTTAAAGAATATTGTGATAAATAAACAAGTATACCAGTTTCATTTAAGGACCAAAGGATTGACAGCCATCCCATATAGATTGCAAAATCGTTGGGAAGAGATTTTTGACGTACCGATTCCATGGCATAGTGTGTGTTTATGAACTGATACGCAAAACGACACTGGATTCAAAACTTTTCTATGTAAATTATTATACAAAACTCTTGCTACCAATATAATGTTATTTATATGGGGGATACAATCTTCCCAGCTCTGCAGATTTTGCTGCGAAGAGACAGAATCATTAGATCATTTGTTTTGGTACTGTCCATTTGTAGCTTGTTTTTGGTCACAGGTCCAGGAATGGCTGAAGGATTGCAATATTTACCTGGAGCTAACCCTGCAGATAGCACTACTGGGTGATCTGAAAAGTCATAGTCAATCGATCAACAATATAATAATACTTTTATCAAAAATGTTTATTTTCAATTTACAGTCTGTAGAAACAATGAGAATATAAGGATTCAGAACTTTTGTGAAACATCACAGTACAGTTGAAAAATCTATGGCAAATAGAAATCCAATATGGATGGTGTTAAGAGATCGATGGGATGTGTTGAA